GTTTATGAGAGTAATTCGACCCCCCATAGATAGTTGCTGGCCTTTCCACCTTGACAGCTTCTTGTGAAAAGACTCTATCAATTCCTTCCAGTCAATTCTACTTCGAGGGTTCCCTCCCACTTGAATACCCAAATATTTGAATGGTATTCCACCATTTTTACAGTTCAGCAAATATGCCATCCTTGCTAATTACTCCTCCACATTGACTCCCATTAATTGACTCTTTGCATAGTTGATCTTCAATCCAGATGAAAGCTCAAAACTTCTCATGATACATTTTACCGCCCATATATTTTCCTTCGTTGCTAATCCCATTAACAAAGTGTCATCGGCAAATTGTAAATGGGATATTTTTATCTCATTTCCTCCTATTTGAATTCCTTCCAGTAGGCCCTCTCTCACTGCCTCCATAATTAAACCATTCAGCCCTTCTGCCACAATCAAAAACAAGAATGGGGATAAAGGATCCCCCTTGTCTCAATCCTTTTGACATTCTAAACTGCTTTGATGGGCTTCCATTTACCAGTATAGAGATAGACATCAATTTCAAGCACCCTTGTATGAGTTGCACTCTAGAAAGGATTCTTCTTAGCTCATCTTCTGTTGTAGCTTACGGTAAGCATCCAAAATCAGAGTTTTTGTTTCTTATTTTGTGTCGACAAAGTGCAAGTTGAAATTTTTGACAACTTGGAGCTGCTCTTGTATTAATATATCAGGAAGGGTTGCTCTTGTAACTTTATGCCTTTCAAGTTAGAATGTTTATGGGTTTGGGATACCCCTTATATTTTATTTTTTAATAAATATTACTTTTTGCCGTTCAAAAAAAAATAAATAAACAATCCCAATATTATTAATAATATGGAGAAGGTTACATATGGGATCGTAGACAATACAGTAGAGTTTTGCAGGCACATGTGTTGGACATTTTTAGATATGATGCAATGAGGCATACTGAAACATGTGAGAAGTTAATTAAGCTTGAAAAAGATTTGATGGAGACTCAGTTGAGGCATCTCCAACAAATCCCAATTGCTTGATAAGAGTACAGACTCTTGCATCCTTGTATATTTTGCCAGGTCTACAGAAATACCCTTTGCTTGGAGCACAATGAATATCTTGTGAGCAGATACAAAGCCCTTCCAAGGCACACCCCTCTTTGACAATGCTCAACCCATCTTTTAACCCAAGCATTTGGTCGGTCCACTCGCTCGAAAACAACCCTGATGGGTCGTACGCCTCTTTCACCTTCAAGAACTCTGTTACATTTCTGTATTTCTTGAACACACCATCGAATGCAATGTTCCTATTCTTCCCCCAGTGTGGAAGACCTCCATACTTGAACACTGCCATTTGTTCTATCTCTTCCAGAATATCTTCGTAAAGCCTGGGAGTCAGTGGATCTTTGCTCCGGTAATAGGTGATATCAAAGTCTAATGCATCCTCTTGACTGCCCAAGTAAGCACTTGAAGCTTTAACATAGCGCATGAGGATTCCATTGTAGAGTTCTAGTCCACAGAGTGACTTGG